GAATGTAATTATGTTTAACTTCAAAACGTTTAATTTTCAAAAGACCCATTTTTTCAATCGCTTATAACTCGAAAATTATTGACTTTTCAACATTTTTGCTAAGGAAAAATCGTCTCCAATTTGGCCAGGAAATCTGCCCTTAATCATTGGTCCGTTAGTTATCGGACACCCTGTATATATGTATATATTTGTGTGTATGTCAGCACTTGTGTTTAATAGTTGTCTTAATTAAACATATTCAAATTTCGTGCAATTAATCATATAAATTATGCATTATTTATAAATTTATATCATTTATTCCGAAAAACATGAAAGCAATCTTTCTAGCTCTCTGTATCTAATAGTAAAATTAAAGAAACAAAATGCCGCATTTTTAAGCGCTAAAATTTTTACAATTAGCGGATAGAAGCAAGTATTGTAATTGTTGAGTAAGTATGTAATACATTTAGAATAACAAAAGTGCCGTTACTTTCAGGAGCTCATTCAACCTTTTAATATGTAATTAAAAATTTTTCGGTAGTGGAAATACGCGTTGATAAATAATCGGCGATGTTCGTGCGCGATATTCGCGATTTCTTCGCCGAATGTTCAGTGAAAGATAAAATATAGTGAAGTGTAGTGGTCAATTCTGGAATAAGTGAAATATAAAATATAGTGAAGTAAACAATTTTGAAATATAAAATATAGTGAAATTCGAAAATATCAGTGGCTTCTGAGTGCGTCGCGAGGACGCCATCGTCGTTCGACAAGGCCCTCCGATAAGAGGATCTTGAAAAAAGTGGTGACGTGAAAACGGAACATCGGTTTTATTCCCGCGTGAATAAGCGTTCATATATTCTCGCGTATCGAAACGCGTCGAAAATGTGCTACTTAAAACCCGGGCGTCGCCACAAGTAGCAGACGAAAAAAAAGTAACGCGAATGTTTCAAAGTGTTTTTACGAGGATATAGTTCCCGGACGCAGAGGTTGGTCTTCTACAGGAAAAATGGATATGGTACCGGCGAACAATCCGGAGTACACCGAGACAGGAGAAGAAGAATCGTGGAAATGTGAATCAAAATATTTATTTCATTATTTATATTGATAAAGCGGTAGAAATATAAGTATTGATTGAATTTCGTGTCAGAATAAACTTGATATAGCACGTTGCAGTCGCTTTTAAGCATTGAATAGTATATTAGCTAACAAGTTCGGGGGATAAATCGGCTGTGGAAGTTTGGAGCACGAGGCGAAGCCGAGTGTGACAATCCGCACGATCGGCCGATTTATGACCCGCACATGTTGGCTACGATATTTTGTGACCGGTGCGTGGAAAAGGAGCCCTTTCTAAAATCCCATCATGTGCATATAAAGGGCGACTTTTTGCGCGCCGGTTGCACAAAATAAGTAAATACCATTTTTAAAAAATAAGTAAAATACCATTTCTTCGAGTTAAATATATCACATTAAACAAACTTTAAATATAATCAGGTTAGTAAACATAAGAATATATCCGTAAATCTTTTTTGTTTTATTGTCATTACATATGTATTTACAATATTGATATCATCTTTTTGCGTCTAGAATTAAATTGGAATTGAAATAAAAGATATATATTTATTTATTATTATATATATATACAGGGTGTCTTATAATTCGCGAACCACCGCGAATGGGCAGATAGAGCGTGTTAAACTGAACAGAAAAGTCCTGTATCATTTTGCGATATTCATAATAATTATTGAGTTATTTATTAAAATATCTAAACGAATAAGCAGATAGAAAGCATTATTTGATCGAGAGGCGGCGTCATGCAGCGAGCGGCGACCAATGTAGTGGCGCCGAAAAGTAAGATGATACTTTTGATACTAAGCGGTACATGTACACCGAGTCCGCGGCCTACCGCTTTCTACCCGCTCATTCGTTTAGATATTTTAGTTAATAACTCAATAATTATTTCGAATATTGCAAAATGATACAGAACTTTTCTATTCAGTTTAACACGTTCTATCTGCTCATTCGCGGTGGTTCGCGAATTATGGGACACCCTGTATATATATATACAGGGTGGGCCATTTTAAAAATACGATCAATTTTCTCGTAAATTAAGCGAAATATCGAAAAATGGTTCAGACATGTGTTGTATGGTTTCGAAGGGGCTATAAGATGGTGCCATTGGTTTGACCTTGGATATTCATTTAAAGATCACGCGAAGGTCACCTCAATTTTTTTAAATGGCATTTTTTATTTTTTATTACATATTCTTGTAGCTGACCTCGAAAGCTTTTCAAAACACTTAGTCAAATGTTTTTCCATTGCGTACTTTTCGAGTTATAAAGCTCGAAAGTTACTACATTTTGATAAAAATACAAAATATATATATATATATATATATATTTCTTAAAATATTCATTTTCCGATAGTCTTATTTTACATGCTCCGACCAATCAGGGCAAAGTCCAAGCATAATCCAGCTAGTCAAGACAAGATCCGGACACGATTCAGCCAGTCAAAACAAGATACGAACACGATCCATCTAGTAAAGGCAAGATATGAACACGATCCATTCAGTAAAGGCAAGATACGAACACGATCTAGCCAGTCAAGGCAAGATACGAACACGGATCCAGCCAGTCAAGGCAAGATAAGAACACGGATCCAATCAGTCAAGGCAAGATCTGGACACGATCCATCCAGTAAAAGCAAGATACAAACACGATCCAGCCAGTCAAGGCAAGATACGAACACGATCCAGCCAGTTAAGGCAAAATACGAACACGATCCATCCAGTAAAAGCAAGATACTAACACGATCCAGCCAGTCAAGGCAAGATACGAACACGGATCCAGCCAGTCAAGGTAAGATCCGGACACGAACCAGCCAGTCAAGGCAAGATACGAACACAATCCAGCCAGTCAAGGCAAGATACTAACACGGATCCAGCCAGTTAAGGCAAGATCCGGACATGATCCAGCCAGTCAAGGCAAGATACGAACACGATCCAGCCAGTCAAGGCAAGATGCGAACACGATCTAGCCAGTTAAGGCAAGATACGAACACGATCCAGCCAGTCAAGGCAAGATACGAACACGGATCCAGCCAGTCAAGGTAAGATCCGGACACGATCCAGCTAGTCAAGGCAAGATACGAACACGATCCAGCCAGTCAAGGCAAGATATGAACACGGATCCAGCAAGTCAAGGCAAGATCTGGACACGATCCAGCCAGTCAAGGCAAGATACGAACATGATCCAGCCAGTCAAAGCAAGATCGTTGATGGTTCTGTCAACTAAAGTTAGATCAAGAAGAATCCTGCCACCGAAGGCAAAATCGAGAATGATCCAGTCAAAAAAAATTTATCAAATCAATTGTTCGAAGTTGTCTCCATTGGCTTGGATACATAATGCCAACCTATCTTGGAAATAACTTACTATCTTGAGTAACATATTGTGCGTTATCCTTCTGCAAGCTTCTCGTATCCTTTCTATCATATTTTCTCAAATACAATCGAATTTTTAAAAATATCGAATTTAATGTTGTTCATAATATTCCTAAAAACCGAATGATTTTTTTAATTACACTCGGTAAGGATAGACTGCCTACAGATAAAAAAACTGAAGTAGTTTACAAAATTAATTGTAATAATTGCAACGTGTCATACATTGAACAAACAAAGAGACATATATGTACACGTGTAAAGGAACATTTCAGCAACATCAAAATGCATTTAAGTAATTTATCAGTTATCAGCAAACATATAATTGAATTCGATCACGATTTTGACTGAGCTTTGCCTGTTATTTTGCAAATGAAAAACACGCAAGAAAAAGAGAAATCGCTGAAATGTTTTTATTAAGAAAAATAATAACGCTATTAATTTGCAAAAGGATACCGACAATCTAAGTAATATCTACGACAAAATAATAAAGGTCGTTTAGTCTCCAGTAACTCGTCTAAGAGTCTTGACGTGTTGTCAAACCGACACTATATTGTTTTTGACATATAAAATTATAATTTTATTTTTATTTTTACAAGTATGTTTCGCTTTTTTTATCATTTTGTAATATTGTTAGTGAAATAATTTTGTTTTTATTGTATTAATCTCTGTCTATGTATATCTAGATCACTTGATAAGGACTCAAAGAAGGGTCGAAACGTTGTAATTGAATAAATAATATTTGCCAGTACGGTCGAGAAAAGATTCTTATCTATATTTATTACCATTTATCATTGTAGAAACGTTGTAGAAATTATGACATATTTAATTTGGTAATAACGTTCCAAAAAACATTAACTCTCGATATCTATTAGAAGTAAAATAAATTAAACAAGCATACACAATTTTTTTAGAATATAACAAATTAAAAATGTTTTTACAGAACCTAAATGTTTTCAAATAATTTTTTCTTAGAAACTAAATAATATATTTCAAATGTTGATTAGTTTGATTATATTACAAAAATGAATAATATAATTTCTAAAAACTTACCTTTAAAAAAAGGTAAAAAGAGACGCCCAGTTAACGGCATGCCAGTAACAAAAATTACTCTTGTAGACCCTATGAGTAGTTGCAAACTCATGTAGATTCCTATAAAAAATTAATTATTACAAACCCATGTAGAATTCTATGAAAAATTAATAATTGCTAACCCATGTAGAATTCTATGCAAAATAAACCATTGTAAACTCATGTAGAATTGTTAAAAAATTATCCATTGTAAACCTATGCAGAATCTTACTACAAAAGTAATGATATCAAAAAAAAATTTCACCCAGTGAAAGGAGAAACTTGTACCAGTGGAAAATTAAAATTGCAAACATATGTATATAGGGTTGTATAATGAGCTAGTAAATTAATATAAAATAAAAATAATAAAATTTTAGTTAAAAAAACTTGACGCGCTGCCAAATTTCAAAATTACAATGCCTTATCAATGCAAAAGATTTCCGGATGGATGCCGCGTGGTTTAACAGCGTAATGCCGACGTTTCGCAAACGTTGCAGTTTGCATCTTCAGGGCTGAGAGCTCCGATATTGAACTTTCTTGGGTTGTGGTCCTTATATATATTATGAGAGGTTTTTCATTTACGGAAAAGTATTCCGTAATGACGCCGCCTAGTGGTGTGTGTGTATATTAAGGGCAGTGTGCCAAATAGGGTTTGTTTGATAACCTTTGTCGCGGTTGAGGTTGTCGGAATGTTTCAGAATTTCTAGAGCTTCAGGATGTTTTCTGGCGAAATAGCTTTGCGAGGGGGCTAGTCTGGTTGCTTTGTCGTATTGTACTGAGTGTCCCGTCACCATCCAATGTTCTGCCAAGGCTGATTGACTAAAATGGCAGTACCTGGAACTCCGTTGGTGTTCCTTAATTCGTGTACTGATCTTTCTCCCAGTTTCGCCTATGTACACTTTTCCGCAGGAGCAAGGAATCCTGTATACACCTGGTGTTTCTAAGTGTGGTCTCCGGTCCTTGGGATTAGGAAGTAGTTGCGCAATCTTATTTTGAGGTTTGGAAATTACTTTGATATTGTGTTTACCCAGAATCCTGCTAATGCGTTCTGTTGTACCCTGAAGATACGGAAGGATTGTCCATTTTTATCTTGTTTATCTTCTTCTTCTTTTTACTTGATGCACTCATATTTGTAGAACTGGAGATTTTATTTTCAGCCTTTCAGTTGTTCGATGGATGTCTTTGGTGTTGTACCCATTCTTGGTCAAGACTTGGAAGAAATTATCAGCCAAGTTGAAACAGCTATCTTCCACCTTCCCGCTGAAACAAGCAACGATATTAGAAATCGAATTACTAACGTTCTTCACAAAGCCAAACTTCCCAGTCAAAATATAAGCAGGAAAGAACGACTAGCACTTTGTAGTCTCAAACAAAATAGTAAGATTATTGTTCTGCCGGCAGACAAGGGAAAAAGATATAAAAAAACGAAGAAAATAATTACAAAAGTTATAATTTATGTTATATTTTTGTTCTTAATTAAATCTTTCTTATTTTTAATTTCTGATCTTTAATATTCAATTTTTAATAGAATTTAACATTGCTTGTTGCGCGATGTAGACTGCAGTTAATACTGCGGTATACTATATAAATGCTACGAATTATTTCTATCTTTGTATATTCTATGAAGATTGAAAATATTATAAAATGTTTCAAAACATTGTAATCACAGCCATAGTCGTTGGTTTATTAATTTACCATTCAAAATAGCCGTTCCATAAAACAAAGATCGAGCCGCTGTCGCGTCGTTGCCAAACAGAGATATCAGATTCGATGGTAGGTATTCGGCAACATCTTTGTCGGCGAGATCTTTGAGTCTGCACGTTGTGACGGCCTGTCTATTTTCGAATTTTTATTTTTTCAGTATAATTATTGCGCGCTATTCATATTCTCGTAGAAATAAGACTATTAACAATCATTATTGTTAGAAAGAATAATCTCAATTCAAATTAAGCGGTATGAGATGTTAATATTTTCATGTAGAGCGCGCAGGTATAAGGTCGAACGTGTGTGTTATGATACCTTATACTATATATATATCTTTTTTGGGTTCAGAATGATTTAGCCGTTTCTCTCACTGGACCGATCGCCTTTTCGTGCGCAGCAGTCTTATAGAAAGCAGTCTATACATATAGAAAGTATTATACATTTAATGTTTATCTTGTTAAAGCATTCACATATGTAAAACTAATTAGATGTATTATTTCTCTTCTATAACAAAATATAAGTGTGTGCTTCACATGCTCTGTCTCTCTCTCTGAGTAAAATTTCAAACAGTTATGGGCCCATTGCTCCGGACTATTTTAGCATTAACAGTAAGTTCTTTATAAGATGGGTGCAATAAGAAAACATAAAATGATGCCTGGTGAACATTTAAAATGAGTGCCATATGCGATACTGTGGGAGCGTTGGAAAGTATCGATAA